TAATATTTCTGGTTAAAATTTGCTCTTGCCTTTACAGCAGGTCTATTTATTTTTTAATATTGAACGTTCACGAGGACTGCTTTTCTAAAGCAGCACCATAATTTGCCTGTACAAAAATGATACTAACCTCCTATTCTCTAAGGAGCTGACATTTAAAAAAAAATAAAAATAAAAAATAAAAAATAAATAAATAAATATATATATATATATATATATATATATATATATATATATATATATATATATATGATAGGAATGGACTAAAGGGGGCATTTTATATTAGAAGCTGGAAAAGAACTAGAAAGTCCATTAAAATCAGGAAATAGCTCATTTCGAATGCCTATGCATCCTTTTAACTGGCCCAATTCTACTGTATGGAGGGAGGTTAGGTTTTATTTTTCAAGGTACTTTACAATTTAGGAAGTGATTTTCTCATTTTGCCTTAAATTTCAGCAGATTAAATGTCAGTGGCTGAAAGGTCCTAAGAATGCTCAGGTCTATACCTTAGGTCATAGACCCAGATGAAGATCTCACTGGATAAAAATACTGCAGTTTCTATCCACCTGTCAATCATCCCATAATGCTAAGGATGATGAGGCAATGGGTGCTTGTTTCCATTTGTCTACTTTACTCTAGTTCCTGGACTGCCTATGAACAGTGCTAGTTTTATGTCGAGAAATACCCGTATAATCTGTGTTAAATACATCACTCCTAAATTCTTTCTTTCATGGTCTCATGCTTTAAAAGCCCACCTGCTTTGAAGCATAGAGTTTGCTCCCTGGAAGAGTCAGTGGAAAGCCATGAGAAGCTATATATATTACTTTTAGAGTAAAGTAAATGATTCTGGCAAAAATAGTTAAATGAGAATAGAACCATTCTCTTGAATTTCATTTGCACATCAGGCCAGTGCCTCTCCCTTGGGGTTATCTCTAGGGGTAGCCAGTAACAAAGTTATTTCTTCCCTCTGACCCCTATAGAAAAGAAAAAGTATTCCAACCTGCCTTGGCTGCTGCGACATGTAACGAATCATAAACTGGTCCGCCCTGCACAGCCTTTTGCTTTTACTTTTATTTCTGATTCAAAGTAGTTGGTTGAAACCAGTGAATTCTCAACTCTGAAATGGTGATACATGTTCATATTCTTAACTCTTAACAGTTTTATTAATTGTGTTAAATGTATATCCAGCATGCTAAACAATGATGATCAAGAATAAAAATGGAGCTATTACATTCATTGCAAGTTATTTGATATCATGGTTACAGGTACTTACGCAGCTAGGACGCAATTCACTGATGAACTGTATATAAGTTCAAATCACAAATCTTGCTTTTTAAGTATGGTTTTCATCCAAACACATTTTCCCATAGGAATATTTTATAAGTGGTGTTTAGATTCTAAGACTGACATAAAAAAAATAGCGAGAGTTTTGGGCTAAAACTATAAACTATTTACATAAAAATAAGAAAATGCTATTGTTATAATTTAAGATATTATATGTAACAGAAAACTAGTTTTATGGAAAGGGTAGATGGAAACCTTCTCTTTTGCAAATTTGAGTGCTTAAATGGCCTCTAAGAGCACAAGACCTCAATTCCTAGGAGCATGTCATCATAAAATTCTTCTAGGGCAGTCTGAGAGTTGCTATTCTCAAAGTTTTCGGCACACAATTATAACAGGGAGACATGGGGAGATTATCCTGAGATGAGTGAAGAAGAGTTAGAGAAGGGAAAGAGGTAGGTGTTCAAGAGCGTTAATTTGGAGGCACAGGGAAATCCGCCTGAGGTGAGTTAACTGAGCTGTGAGGCGTCAAACCAGGATGGAATTTGCAGCATGGTATAATGGGAACCGTCCTAAGATCCAGTAGGTGAGGAAGATGAAAGGAGATGAAAAGAAATGAGTCAGGGGTGAAAGGCTCTCCAGCGTGTGACCAATACTCTGTATATATCAGTTCTCATTTAGATTTAGGAGGCTTTTCACCTTACAGTAGGATAACAAATGTCCTAAGAGAACCACAAAAGATCTGTGACTTCTATGTAAATGACATGCTTTCACTCACCAGAAATAAAATACTATCAAGTGAAAGTGAAAAATGATAACAGAATTTTGAGAAATACTAAAGAAAAGCAAACCACATAAACAGAGTTTCATCAGACACACACACACACACACACACACACACACACACACACACACACAAACACACAAATTCTCATGGTTTGGACTGGGCACTGATCAACCCTTGTCCTCTCTGATAACACTGGCAAGAAGTTAGACATGGCAGGTGGGATCATATCATTCTTTAGCTCAAAAAGTCAAAATCTAATCTACAGAGAGGTATTGAGGGGCCTGAAGGACTTTGCTACAGGGCGCCTTTGTCTCCTTGTCTTCTACCTCATCACTCCACAAACCCTGGGACTTCTTTATGTCTGTTGCTTTCCTTCCAATAGCAGTTTTTCTCCCCACCACCTGCTCCTTTGGTGGTCTCATACTCCCCAAGGCCTTTAACACACAGTAACAGCTCTCTGCCCAGGATCCCCACCTGCTTCCATCTCACTCCTGAACCCTGTCAGGCTCCATGGTCCCAATGCCTGCTGGAATTCACCTCGATATCCAACACAGATTTTAAAATGCTCTGTATGAAACTGAATGGATGACCATGTTTTCTAGCTCAAAATGGCCTTTTCTGCTTCCTTAAATGGGGCCATCATCTCAGACACTCAGGCCTGTAACTTTGAAAATGTGATTCTTTGCTGCCTCTCACACCCAGTTAACTGCCGCGTCCTACTGATGTGATCACCAAAAAGCATCCTTTTTTCATTCTCTCAGTGACCATTGTCTTTCTCTTCTAATCTTGTTTACATGTTGCTGCCAAAGCACCCATCCTAAATGAAGCCTGCTTGCTTGTCTGTGCTTAATCCATTGTTCAAAAATGTCAATGGGTCTGTACTGTCAAATGTTCTCTTTTCTTAGCCTGATGGCAAAGATCCTCTGTTATCTCAACCGAACTTACTTTTCAGACTTAGATTTTCTTCCCTTCATGTAGCATGTTGTGGCTAAATTGAACTCACGATATCCTGACTGTGCCTTCCTTATACTTTCCACCTCCAAGTAGTTCATTCTGTTCCTTTGCTTGGAATGTCCATGCCTCCTCCCTTGACGCACATGTCCAAATTGCACATAATCTTCTAGAATAAGCACACATTTTTATTTTGTTAATTAAGCCTTCCCTTGATGTGCTAAGTTGAAGGTGATCACCCTTTTCCTTGAACTTCGACAGTACTTTACTTGTTTCTAAACTTCGGCATGTTTATAACTTTTTTTTTTCCCTTAGCTGAGCCATCCTGCCACCTGTTAGCAGCTCAGTGGCAGCTCAGCTCGGGCCAGGACTCGAACCGCTGTTGCTCAGAGCTCGCACTCTTGAGTGAGCTCTTAAACAACTGAGCCACTCAGCCAGCCCATGTTTATAACTTTTTAAGGTGTTTCTCCTTGTGTTTATATCTTTTCTCCCCTACTTGACTTATTTACTTCTGAATTTCTCCACATCACTTAGGGTAAGAAAAAAAATACAGGCCCTCAAAGAATTAAGCATTGGTAGGAGAAAAGTGCTGATGTGAATAACTTTAACATATTTAAGAATGAATGCTGAGTGACTGAAAGGATATAGAAATTATTTTGATCATGCATCTCTGTGGGAGGGTGAGGACATTGTGTGGTCTGTATAATACCACACAACTAGATGAACAATTGTGTCACCAACACTATTCCCCATAAGTTCAGATGTCGAGTATAGCTTACTCAAACAATCTGGGTGTCTTTATATGGGGAAAAAAAAGGAAAACCCTATAAATGAGAGACTTTAATATAGAAACAACACTAGGAAAGATATATGCATTTTTGGGAACCTTAGTGGAAATTCATTTATTATCTCAAATTAAAAATGGTTTAGATGTAGGCTAGTCCCACTTCATTAACAACTTACTGGCTATAACAGCAAGTTGACTGTGTTCAGTTCTGCTCATTTTGTCTTGTGGGCTGGGTTAGATTTATTAAAATGGCACCTTATTATTCTTGTGGAGTGGGGAATGGAATGATTGTTTCTTTTTGCTTAAAAAATTGTGTTACTGCAGTGTACAGTTTGTCTTTATGATTTTCTTTTTAATCCCTGAAACTAATCATTGCTTCAGGTCTTATGCATTGCACTGTGACTTAATTTTGGCAATCCTTGGTTCTGATTTATGAAACTCACCACTGCTTCACCTGATTACCTGAGCTCCAGCCTCCTTCTCCCCTCTACCCTTAGGGTCAAATGTCTTGGATATCAAAGATAGCCTTGAATAGATACAATTTTCTTAGAAGTCCTTGGACATTGCAATGTAACTGTAGGCAGCCTCCCCTCCATGCAAGGTGGATAGCCACACAGCTTTCCTTACTCTGTAAGGACACCCTGTTCTTAGCTAATCCTGCCAGCTCAGTTACTCAGCACTCCTACTTTATACCCATTGAGTTCTCTAGCATCTGACTTTCGGAGCTTATGATAAAATGTTAGTTCTTTCCATTTTAAAATTTTTTTATTGGTGAATAAAAACGAGATTCTTTGCTATTTAAAATGTGGATCTTAACTATTTATTTCCACTCATTCCCAAGGTAAGTAATTAATCAGTTTTTGAAGTCTGCTTTGGGGAATATACTTTGTAAGGCTATTTCCTGATAGCCATTCTGTCGGACAGTCAAATAAAGAAAAACTGTGCTAATAGATGTTTCAGAAACACTTTCTCTAGAACAAACACCCCCCCAACTCCGTATCACTCTTTTCTTTCATTTAATACAACAACAAAATATTTGATTCCACCAGGCGACAGACTTTTGGACTAGTCTCTCTAGATGGCTGAGAGAAAATTTTGTGTTAGATAAAAGAGCATAGACATACTACAGCATTTAAGATACAACATATGGAGTTATAACAGACAATAAAGAAAGCTCAAGTAAAAAATAAGTATTACCTTAGGGTCATGGATTCCTGAAAGCTCTTCATAGATCTTCTCACCTACCATGACAGCAGCCAAGTTTGCCGTGTATGTAGAAAGGCAAAACATACAGAAAATGGCCCAAAGGTTCATTAGAAACCTTCCAGTCCAGCATTTTGGGGGTTTGATGGCTGCAGTTCTACCAAACAAGAGGGCATAACAGACATTCAAGGCTGAAGAGAAGGAGAAGACTTTACTTCTATTCCGCCCCTTGGGAGTCATGCCAAAGGGGCTCTTCCATTCGTACAGCGTGAGGAAGATGGCAGTGATGTGCAGAGCCACAAAAATCCCCAGCCACAAAGTCCAGTGGAGGGGCCACATGAAAGCTCCAATGGGAGCCGCTGTGTCTCGGGTCCTCACTAAGATGCCTAAGCTGGTGGAGAAGAAAGGACTGGTGAAATCTATCACCTGGCTTCGTGCAGTATTGATGCTGAACGAAGTGACTGCCATGTGGGCTGACCCGCTCAGGAGATCACCCACTAGTCCAGTCCAGTGCCCATTTTTCCAGGCTCCATACTTTCCATCCCCAACAATATAGAGGTCAAAGTCAAAGTTCATGTCTTCTGCGAGTTTTTCCAGCAGATCAATGCAATAGCCATAGCAGCACTTCTTGAGTTTGATGGGCACTGTATCATTACTGCTGTGGAGGCTACTAAAAAGGCTGTCCAGTATGGAAGAGTCATTAGTCATGGGGTCTAGGCAGAGCTGGCCGGCAGGGCACAAGCCTTCATCATCTACCGCCCGTGTGAAGACAAATGGATGCTCGATCAGCGTAACAACTCTCAAGTGCAGCTTACTTGGGTGTTGGAAGTGAGTTTTGTGCCTCTGAGCCTGCTCTGGCCATATTCCATAGTCCATGACAAACTTTCCCCCCTGCCAGCTGCCCAAGCGGGTCCACATTGGCTTTCCCACAGGGTCATGTTGCAGATTCCAGATGAAAAAGTTGTTTTCTGAGCTGATGATAGAGGAACCTTTTACTCTGATGGAACCACTGAGGCCTCTAAAAGTGGTGTTGGCTAGAAACCTGACAAAGAGGAGAAAAGGCAAAAAGTAAGGCAGAGAGGCGAAGCCGAAGACAAGAAGCAGTTGCTGTTTTGTTTCTTTGTCTTAGTGAAAAGAAACTCAAGTCTTTTTTTAAAGGCATTGCCTATAAATCTTTCAAGAATTAATCAGCTGGACTCTTTCTAGAAGAATCCTATTTCATTGAGATATCACCCTCAGGTTCTAACAGCCTGCTAGGTGCTTGGTTCTTGGTCTTACTCCAAATCTCTTTATTCTTAGTTTAGGGGTGTGTTCATTGTTTTCTGTTGTAAACTGTTAATTATGTATTCTTATAGCTTGCTAAGCTAAAGAGGTTCTCAGTATCTTTAACATGTCTCATTTTTACTGTTCACTACATTCAATTGCAACGAAATCAGCTCAACAAATTTTTTTTTGGTGTGAGGAATGAGTCTTGGTAGGTATACATATACTTTTATAATTGTTTAAAAATTGCATTCATAATTCTAGAAAACAGCCAAATCTTGTTACCAGTGTTTCTCTTGGCAGAGTGGAAACAATCAACACACCTGTCCCCATGAGGCCAGTTAAAGCTGCCTGTTGGCTATCATCCATAGAATAAAGAAAAAGATAATAAATAGATTTGCAGCTCTCCACATAGCCTCAGGCTACCCTTTCTTTAAGTCATTAGAGAAAAACAGCTGGCTCTGGCTCTAGAGAGAGCTTCTGCCAGAAGTCAAAGAAAGGAAAATTACCAACTGAATGATACATTGATTCCCAACCCTGTGAACCAGGGAGGGCACTGTTAGCGAGGCAGGAAAACACTTGGTCAGAGCCTCTGTCTTTCTTGAATCTGGGAAGATAAGACAATAAGAGGTAACATGTAAGTTTGTGGCACCTCTGTACTCTTAATTACGGCCTTGTATCAGAATAAAAGCCCAGACTTGACATCAGAGACACCTGTATTTCAATATTGGTCCAGCCACCTTCTAGCATTGTCCTTGGACAATTTACTAAACTCTAAGCTTCAGTTTCATAATCAGCGAATGGGAAAGATAATACTTCCTCCATTATAAGGGTTGGAAATAATGAACGTAAAGCACATACCACACCTTCTGACATAGAACAATCATCCCAGATATGGTAGTTATTATTTAATGTCATTCAAATTTTTCAATCAAGGCTGTTTCCCAGGTCACTTTCACATCCTAGTGGAACTTTTCTCATTGGAGACGCAAAGTACTACATTATGATAAACTCCTAGAGGGTACTCAAGAGGCATTTCAAGTGAAAAGGAATTAAACTGAAATGTGGAAAGTACCACAGAAGATTTTTTTGAGGAGTCAGATGATACAAGCCTAGGCTCTGAGCAAAACACATCCGGATGAACTCTGCCTGCCACAAACATTACTCAGTAATTTACAAATGCAAATACAAGTAGTGAGACGTTATGCTGCCATAGAAGGGAGACAGAAAAATCAGAAAGTGTGAAGGATGTATTAATTTTCATTAGAGATATAAATGTAAATCACATTTGAAGATGCTATACTAACACTAAATGCAATGAAACTACTCATTTTGGTAGATTGCATGTAATGATTATTATTCATGTTAGCATTCCCCACTGGGACTCTACCACTTAAAATGAATTCTATTTTGCAACAAGTAATGAAGTCTCAGTTATCCTAGACTTTTAGAGAGTTTTCTGCTTCTTTAGAGAAGTAGGGATCTAAATCACTAAAATATACAGATTGATCAATTGAGAATTACCTAGGTACTAGAAGGAAAGGACAACTACAATTGTGTTTCTGATGAGCAACCTATTGGTTTGTTGGAAAAGTCATGACGCATTTTTGCAATGAAAAACAAAGAAAAAATATGTCATGACTTTTCCGACAACCCAATACGTATAGATTTGTCAAGAAACACACAACACACACACACACACACACACACACTTACATTACTTAGGGAATAAAATTGTTAGTAATAAATAGGTTAATTTCATTTAGCTAATTTAGTGACTGGGAAAGTAAAGTTGTAGAAAGAGGAGCCCTTCATTATTTTAAGAATATTTGGGGCTTAATGATTATAGATTGTTAACTGGGTGTACTCTTGAAAGACTACCAATGAATAAAACTATACTTAAATGATCTCAGAAAAGAAGGCACTAGACATCATCAGAAATCTTTCAGCGATCACATAACTCCCTTATTCCAGTAAAATCTTTCCGCATTATGGGTGTTAAATAACATTCAAGATGGCCCTGACTGAACACAATGCTCAGTTGACTCTGAGGCATCGTTTGTCACAGAAAGGCCAATCAATCAGGACCTAAATGTCTTCAGTTTCCCCAGACCAGAAAATCCAGTCTTATTTCACTATGCGGTTGGCACCAAGATACTGGGTCTCAGAGAATCTCTACTTATGATAGATTATTACTGTCTATTTTATTTTCAGTTTTATGGTGAGGGTAAATTAAAATGATCTCATTGATAGCTTTTATTGTTGCACTTCGCATTCTTTGTAATGCAATGACAATGTGTAGCAAAGTTTCAATGCCCAGTGTGTTAAAAAATTAAACGTTGAAATCCTGGTTTTGCTGAAATCAAATTCTACCATGTTCTTTTTTATCTTGCCCTGGTCTCTTCCTGGATGAACAAGAAAAAGAAAAATCAGGGAATAGTATTATTGGCAAGAGAAACAGATACAAATACCAGGTACTATTTTTAGCACTGGAGTAATAGAGATGAAAGACACACTCATTTTCCCAAAGAGCTCAAAGCCTAGGAATTGGGAGAAAGCAAAGTGAACAGGCAAGTCTAAAGCATTGTAACGAGCTTCATAATAGAGGTAAACCTGGGCGCCACTGGAGCAGAGAGCGGAGCACCTGCACATTTTACTCTAGGGCTGACGAGGAAGGCTTCTTAGGAGCAAGAGGTGCTGGAGCTGAGTCTTGAAGGCACTACCATTAGCCAGGAAGAAAACCTGGGGATGACGCTGTCAGTCCAGGGAGACGGGTGTGCAAAAGCTGGAGACAGAGGGCAAGCCGTCTGAGGACCCGCAGTGAGAAACAAGGCTGGAGCTGAGGGTGGAAAGTGAATTACAAAAGGGCTGAGGCCACGATGAAGGTAATGGAGAGCCACCGAGGAGACACCTGTGGAGACACATGATCATCAGATTTGATTTTAGAAAGATTTTCTGCCCTAGCTGTTAGGGAATGGTTTGGAAGGAGGAGGGGGCTGAGTGGTTTCTGATGTGAGGACTAATGCTCCTTCTCCCCTCTGGCTTCCTGTCTTCCTCTCTTTATGCTTGTTTCACAAGGGGCTTAAGATAATAAGGGCTAAGATAATAGCGGTAGAAGTGGACAGAAGGTGCATCATCAAGAGATACATAGTTCTGTTGCGGGGAACCCAGACAACGAGACAGGACACCAAGGCGTGGGAAACAACTTTTATTAATGCCGGCACTGGCTCAGCGGAGTCACATCCAGAGGCTGAGCTTCGACCCGGGTGGGACTCGGGGCTATATATGGTCATTGTGCCAGTTCCTGACTGGCTCCCAGGTGAGGTAGGAATTTGGAAACATCAAACGCGGGTCTTGCTGACCATACAGTCCAGGAATGTCTTTGTCTGAAGCCCGCACAAAATCCTTAGTGACCACATGGTCTGGGAAGGCCTTTGTCTAGGGCCCACTGCCAGAGTTCCAAAAAAAGTAGTGATTTTAAGAGAGCCAAATGCACAGGGTTGCATTTAGTTCACAAACCATACTAAGAATGTGTAAAACTTGGCTGGATGGAAGCTCATATAAATAAGATCTGGAGTATTTATTAATAGTTGAATATCATTTCTGTATAAGCCCATTGAGTAATGTGAGTGTATAAAAGGGGGAAAGTAATCTCGAATTTTTTAGATGGAAATTTAGAGCCTGGGTCACAGGGACTGTGTGATCGCACGCCACTCCAGCCTAGATACGAATGCTAAATAAGTCTTCCAGATTCGGGGACATTATGAGAAAAGGTAAGGTGGTGGAAAATATAACGGGGTGGTAAGCACAACAATCTAATTGCAGAGCAGGGTATAGAAGTATGAGAAAATAATACAGGAAAAGCAAATTGCAACTAGATTATAGAAGCTTTGCGTGTCCATTGTATGGGATTAGATTTTACTATTTAATAGGAGGCAGGGGGCGGGGGGGGGGGCGGTGGCTGTGAAGATTTCTGAGCACAGTAATGATACAACCAGAAATCTGCATTAGTAATATTGATCTGGAAACGGGTAAAATGCATATAATGAAGGAAGAGATGGTGACCAAGAGACCACTTAGAGGAACATGACAATAGCTTTGTCATGGTATGATAAGGGTCTGGATCTTACTTTATAAGTGAGAACCTAGTTTAGCACTGCTCCTTTGCACATGGGGACTATATAACAAAGCAGTTCAGACACACATGTTTCTTTTTTTAATCAGCAAACCTCCCAATATACCACTCTGCTCAAAAGAATGAAGCTCATTAGTTAATTTGCAGTGAGGTAATTTATTACTTTAGTAAAAATTCCCAATTATGCCACTAATTAAGAAAGTGTTGATTTGTATAGGAGCAGAGATAAAATTTGCACTTTGCAAATTATGTAAAAAATATTTTTGGGACAGTGCACAGCATAGGTAAGATCGGTGTTTAAATATACTTAAGATATATTTTAAAAGCCACATTTGTGCACAAAACTTGTTAAAGAGCTTTCTTGCTCATTAAAACAAATCAAAAAAGATATTAACAAAACAACATATCACCCATTCAATCATTGATTCATTTAACAATACTCATGATGTGCTAGGTGTGCTAGGCACTGTTCTAGGGGCTGGGGGGATAGAATGATGAACAAAACACAACAATATATGCAGCTTATAGTCTATTCAAGAAGACATAATAAATATTATATATAGGTAATACATATGGGGTGTTAGATACTGCTAAGTGCAAAGGAGGAAAAATTAAGCAGGTTAGGAGGTAAGATGTGTCAGGGT